ATTCCTCTTCATCTACTTTTTAAAAAGTTTGTTCTGTAAATTTACTTTATTACATGATGATTAATTTTTATGTTCATTTAAATAGAAGCTCCAGTAAGTAAATTTTCATTAAATACATATTCTATGATTTAGTAACTATTTTCCATTAGTTTTATCTAGTCAGCAAACTTTTAAAAAATTTCTATTACATGCCAGGTTTTGTTTTGGAGCCGGTGCAGTAGCATTGAACAAGACAGGCACGCTTACACTGGAGGAGTAGATTGTGGCTAGGTGGTTCAAACAACTATTGTAACGTGCTATTGTTGTTATGTACTGTTGAGTTGCCTGCAACTCACAGTGAGCCTGTGTACAACAGCCCTAAACCCTGCTCTATCCTGTGCCAGTCTCACTGTCTCCAGCACACCTACCCCGATTACCCCAGTCACTGAATCAGTCCACCTCATAGAGGGCCTTCCTAAGAATTTTAACATAACATTTTAAAATATTTTATTGCCTTTTTAAAGGTAAAAAATCCTTTGAAATGGTTTTAAAATTGAAACGTTGCCTGACTAGGTAAAATGTAAATGTAGTTGCACTGCCAACCAAAGACTAGCTTGAATCCCCCAGCTGCTTTGAAGGAGAAAGCAGTGAGATAGAGAAGGAGGTGTGTGAGGTAAAGATAAAACAGCCACATTTTTGTCACATTTTACTGACAGCCAACAGTTTTACTCAGAAAATTTCTCCAGAGTTCCTGATACAATAGCCCTTAGTCACTGTTCACACCTGGACTGAAATCACCTCTATGACTTTCCTTTCAGCCAAAACAGTAGACCGACCTATAAGGTGAACAGTAACATAGGTCAGAGTGCGTAGTTAGACCAGTCAGCTATACGAGACTCCAGGCAGCATTCGCTCAGGGGTAAAGCTCACAGGATAGGAAGGAATAATGGATGGAAATGGGACCTGCACTGGGAGGAGTGCTCCTGCAGAGGAAGCGTGAGGATTGCAGTCAGTGCCATGAAACAATGCATAGAGCTATGAATGGAAGACCAGATTGCTCTGTAAAATTTCACCAGAATCACAAAAAGTTAAAGAAAACTTATTTAAAATAGAATTAGTTACGGTCAGTAGCATCCTGTCTGTCAGATCATACTGGTGGTTTGAAGCAGTGTCCTTTGGAGGAAGGGCCTGGTGCCTGTTGGGTATATTGGGAAGAGTAGTCCTCAGTAGAAGAGTGTGAAATGTGGGCTATGCTAGTTGATTATAGTTGATATATTTTCTTTGGGGTTTTATTTTGTTTTGTTTTGTTTTTGCAGATTGATGCTTAAGCAAATAAGAGATTTGAGAGCAGAATGTTTAGAACTGCAAAACCACATAAAACAGTAAGTAACTTGTAGATGAAAGATTCCCTAGATATTAGTTAAAGTCCAGTGCTTCAGGGTGCTCTGGTGACCTCCTGGGTAAAGATCTTCACTGTTAACCCAAAGGCAGATAGGGTCAAATTTATCAGCTGCTTCTTGGGAGAATGATGGGCTGTCGCCTCCTACGTGATTTACAGCCTCTGAAAACCCGCTGGAGGGTTAAGTATGAGTAATTTCTGACTTGACAGCACATAACAACAGCCTATACTCTACAGGTGAAGAAATTGAGTCACAGAAACACTAATTAAAAATGTTTAAGTAACTAGGCTCTTTCCAGTGCATTATTGTTGCTTTGTGCTAGAATTTTATGAGATTTTAGGTGGAATGGTTATTATTTGGTTGATTTGTGTTATCAGTTCTTTGGATGTTAAATTGCCATGTGGTTTTCTTATGGTTTATTGAATGTTTTAATTTTTAACTAGAATGGAACCCTGTGATAACCAAGGTAATCTACAAGAGAAAGTTCAGAAGGTAAGATGAGAGAAATGCAATCTCTTTTATGTAATAATACAGTGTTAGCTCTGTTCTGTAGGACTCCTAAAGCCTTTTTAAAAATGTTACACTGTCAATATTTTTCTCAAACTCTACATGGTATAGATGATCATTAAAGTATTGACAGAATGCTTCTAAAACTCTTGAATTTTTGGGAAAAAAATGATATTTATAAAATACTAAATATAAAAAAATGCCTTCAATTATATGGTTGATTTAAAATTTTTTCCTGCTAGCAAGAAAAGTTTGACTTACCTGGAACTTAGTGTTAACTTCTTGTTGTTGTTGTTGATGATTGCCATTGAGTCGAGCACGACTCATAGCAACCCTATGAACAAAAGACTTGACTTTCTATAACTATTGTCATTTATCAAACATAGTTTCCAGAGGCATGTTGTCTAGGAAGTAGATGCCACTCCTGCTTATCTAAAATAATTGATGGGTGATAGAGAGTAAGTGGCGATGATAAGTGACACTGAGGCGCCTAGGAAGAAGTCTAGACAGTCTGATGCCTGCTGCATAGGTTACCTAGGCCTGCCTTTTGCCCTGGGTGAAGCCTTTCTCAAGATCTTTGTCCTACTTCTGTGATCATCAGGCTGTTTTGACTAGGTTAGATGTTTATCTTCCTAGGCACCTTGTCACTAGAAAAAGTGAGTTCCCTCTCTAGGATATAATTGTTTATAAATATATTTGTTGGTCACCTGCCATATAGCAAGCATTTTTCTAGATGTTAGGACTATAGCAGTGAAGAAAACAGAGTCACTCCTTTCATAAAAGTTTTGAATTGGTGAATATGAACATATATATTTCTGGAAGCAATTGCTGATTATAAATTTAAGAGCTTGGTATTGTACTTACTGGATTTTTTTACACCAACTCTGCGGAGTTTGATTAATACTTTCCAGTTTTCTGGGTCAGTAATCTTTTAGATACTGATATTTCCAAATTGAAAAATCTGAGAACCTGATTCTGGACCATTGTATATTCACCTAGAAAATGCCTTCCTGTGAGATCTCTAAATTGCTTTTAGTCTTTTTCTGTTCTCAGAATAAGACTCACTAAAGAATATTGTATTCTTAGAATATAATACTGTAATCAGAGAAATTTAATATAAATAGTAAGTCCTATGGAAATATACAGACACTTAATGTATCATGATTGGTAAAATTATCATGTTTATTTATCTCCTTAATTTAATTTTGCAAATTCTATCAAAGCATTTTGTTGTTATTCTGTGCCATTGACTTGAGTATGACTCAGTGACTTTGTATGACAGATCTGAACCCTGCCCTATCCTGTGCTATCCTCATCATCTCTGCCACACAAGAGCCCATTGTAACAGTCACTGTGTCAGTCCATCTTGTTGAAGATCTCTCCTTCACTGACCCTCCACTTTTCTGAGCATGATGTCCTTTTCCAAGGACTCACCCCTCCTAACAACTTGTCCAGAAATGTGAGAGAAGTGTCATCATCCTTCCCCATAAGGAGCGCTCTGGCTGCACCCTCTCTAAGACATATTTCTTTGTTCTCCTGGCAGTCCGTGGGATATTTAGTACTCTTCTCCAGCATCAAAACTCAAAAAGGCTTCGATAACTTCTGTCATCTTTATTCACGGTCCAACTGTCAGATACATAGCAAGTTCTTGAAAAGATCATGGCTTTGCTCAAGCATGGTATACAAAAATTAGATCTGTAGAGTGGTTTGATTATTTTTTCACAAAGCAAATACACCTTTGTAACTGTCATCCTCCAATGTTTAAAAAACATTACCCTCACACTCCTATCACTTAAAACTCCTTTCCCCAAGAGTGAACACTTACTTTGACTTTTTACAGCAAAGATTACTTTTGATTTTAAACTGTCAATAAAAATATATACATTATGGTATCAGCTTCTTGTCCTCAAGCATTATTTTTGATTATTGTGTGTAGTTGTACTAGGCCATTATCATTGTGCATAATGTTCTCTTAATGTAATAGTGCATGCCCATTTTACTCTAAACAATCTTTAGATTGTTTTAAGATATTGACTGTTACATAATCCTGTGAATATTTTTGTACCTGAATTTATAGTGTTTGTATGTGTCTAAGATTTAAGAAGCAGACTTTTCATATTTTAAGGTGTCAGAAACAGGAATGTTTCTTGAAATTGATGTGTAATGTTATTCTTCCCACTAGAATGTTTTATTATTTCTTCTTTAAAAATCTTTATTAGTTTGGCATATAAAAAAGATTACACTTTGGTGGTTTAAGATTGCTTAGATTTGTTTTGAAGATCATAGTGAGCTTGATTCTTCCAAGAAATTCTTTAATTTCAAATACCTTCTGGGTTTTTAGACTTAAAAATAGTTACTTAATTTATTTATCAGAAATTATCCAAAATTATTTATATCTAGATTTAAGCATAAATTTATATTTTATAACACTTTAGTATATGTTCAGATTATATTTAGTTTCTTTTTGTCTCTGTTTTCAAAGGTTCGATCATGGTGGGCTTTAGTGAATGAAACACTCGAGGTTTTGGAACAAGAGAGAGAAGTTGTTAGTTCAGTCCTTAGCCTTTCCAACCAGTACTCTTTAGATGGAACTAATGTTGCTATTAATATCCCAAGACTTTTACTTGACAAAATCGAAAAGCAAATGTGTCAGGTAAGCATTTATCAGTGAGAAAACTTTTGAGAAGTTGTAATGTCAAATGTTTTGATATGTATATTTTCACTGTAATTAAAAAGAAAGGATGTGAGTTATATATTTTATGTTGTTTTTCTTGTATTATTTTTACTACTTGCAAGATTTGTTGTGAGTATAGGTATTATAAGGGAGGTCTGATGGTTTAGTGGGAAAGAGCTGTGCTACCACCCCAGAGACATGTGGTTCGAATCTACCAGCTGCTTTGAGGGGGAAAGATGAGCATTTACCTCCTGGGAGATTAACTGTCTCTGAAAAATAGAGGGTCACCTATGGGTTGATTTCCAGCTCACCAGTATGTAACAGCAACTAGTGGCTTAATGGTAAGCAGTTGTGCTACCCACCCAAAGGCACATGATTTGAACCCACCACCAGCTCAGAGGGAGAAAGATAGATAGTATTTTCTCATGCAGTGTACAGTCTCTGAAAATCTGCTAGAGGGTCAGCTATGGGTTGCTTCTGGCTAAATAGTCCAACATCATAGGTTAGAACTTTCATAAAGAGGCATGCTTCTGAGGGTATTTGTCAGCTTTTATTAATTGTACTATTAGAGTTCTGGTTGTATAGTCCTTAGCAAGTTGCTGACTTATGAAAGACACTCCACCAAGCATTTGATGCTGTAGATCACATGAGAGAAGCTTACTTACGTTCTCCCGTGGAGCGGGTGGAGGATACAACCCAGTTGCCTTTGGGTTGGTAATGCAGCTTCCTACCGCTGGTCTACCAGAGCTTCCACTCCATCTTACAGGGTTGCTATAAGTCTGAATCAGCCATGACGTTGAATTTCTTTCTCATATTACAAATGCCCCGTCCTTTATTACCCAATTCATTGACTTTAAGAACCTCCTGTATATCCCGAGTTCCCAACGAGTGTTTTCCATTCTTTCCTTTAACCTAAATGCCATCTTCTTATTTATACTTGTTAATAGGATTTTTTCTTAGAAAATATGTGATTTATGTACTAAATAGGTATTAGTATACAGAGACTAGAAAGATAAAATACTGTTTTTAAGTCAAAAGAGTTTTCAAATTTAATAGGTAACTGAATAAACCCATCAGATACAGGGCATGTAAAAACTGAGATCTTCAAATTTAGATTTCTTAAGAGACTGGACAAGTAATTATTATACATGTTCACTTAATGAAACAACAGGGAGAAAATAAGTGATGAGATCTTTGAAGAACTAGATTTGATTTCTGTCTGAAAGCTATGACTTTTGAAATATTGGCAGATTTTAATCTTCCTTTTTTTAAATTCAAATGTTTCTATAGCCACAATTAGGCAGAGCAAATGAATATGTCAAAGTTTGAATGCAGTCTCTAAGGATAATCAGTTTGTCCCTGCTGTTAAAAAGTGAATTTGTGTTTTCCCCTTCAACCCGCACTTTCACCTCAATCTTTATTATAAATGTAGTATGTCATGTTCTTTAATAGTAATTGTTCTCACTGGAACAAATTTTTTTCCTGTGGTTTTCCTTTTTGAGGGAAAAGGAATTGTTTTCCTCATTTTTCTTTAAGCCAAGTTTTTGCATAATAGTAAAAGAAACACATACATTACATAACATAGTTTATATCTTCAGTGCCTGTAGTTTACTTCTGGATTTTTTTCCTCCCTTTATATTTAGTTGCACATTGGAAACGTTTATGAGTCTGGAAAACTGAACTTCTTAACAATTATTCAGCTATTAAATGAAGTCTTGAAAATAATGAAAAATGAACATTGTGAAGCTCACCAAGCAAAACCGACAATAGACCTTCAATACCTCGAAAAAGAGACCAGATTTCAGAAAGAAAGAGTATCAGAGCTGAAGCATTTGAGGTACACTGGAAAGATGCACTGTTAGTTTGTGGGAGGATGAAGGTGGTTTTGATATGTTTTCAGCAAAATTGATACATACTTAAAAATCTTTAGCTTTTTAGGGAACCCTGGTGAATTAGTGGTAAGGAGTTGTACTGACCACCCAAAAACACGCGGTTCAAATCCATCAGCTGCTCAGGAGGAAGAGGATGGACAGCCTCTCATATGATTGACTGTCTCTGAAAATCCTCTAGAGAGTCAGCTATGAGTGGGTTCTGACTGGTTAGCTATTGCAAATGATAAAATTATTACCAGTGTTCAGAAGAATTTATTACCTAATCAAATCCAAGGAGAGATACAGGAAATAAACAGGATAAATTTTCTCTTTGAAATGACTTTTTGCCATGTGATAAAATTTTACCTTTCCTTCTGTTGAATCAGCTAATAAAACTAGGTCTTTGAGGTTGGTTTAGTTTTTCTTCTTAATTGTACTTTAGATGAGCAGTCTCTCAAGTTTTGAGAGTGGACCGAGTGGAAATAGAGTTCTGAGATTAGAACCAGGAAAAACCATTGTCAGGATAAGTAGGGTAATAGTTGTATGACTGGTTTTTGCTCTTAAAAAAAAAAAAGGACTCTAAGTAGTCACTTGAGAATCTATTTAAAGTTTTGAATTCTGTATCTCCTTCCCCTTCCCTAAATTATTGTTTTCTTAAATTTTACTCAATTTCTTTTCTATATCCATAATTTGGATAATTTTCTTTAATGCTACAATAGGTATAAAGTGAAAGAAGATCTTGTATCTATAAGGCATTCTATTCTTGAGAAACAAGGAGAATGGTGTAAGAAGTGGGAAGAATTTCTTGGTGTGTCTCCATTCAGTCTAATTAAAAGTTCGACTCCGGTAAGTAATGCTGATTTTTCTATAGTAGGCTTGATGTTTCATAGGACAATAGAATTGTTTATGCATGTTTTCAATCTGCATTTGAGTGTGTAATTTTAATGTTTTAGTGTCTGTAGTTTTCCAAAATACATTATTAGAATTTTTTTGAACTGCTGTTGTGATTTAGTGACACTTTTAGATGAAAAATTTGTCTTAAAAAAATGAAACATCCTAATTTGAAGTAGTGAAGAGGATCATGTAATCTCCTGGTCCCCAACATTGTGTTTTGTTTAAAACAGTATAGTTTGCATATTTAGTCTTTCTGGTGGTTTGTTTTTGGTTTGATTTTTTTTTTAAGTCATTCTGTTTTTATTAAGAAAAAAAAATCATGTACTTATAGTTTCGTTTATTGATGTTGTGGTTGTACGTAAAATGTCTATATCTGTCATATTGTGAATTCTGTGTTTTAAGGCTGTGGATCTTTTACCACCTATGTCTCCACTTTCATTTGATCCTGCCTCAGAAGAAACATATGCAAAGAGTATTCTGTTTAAGTACCCTGCTACCCTTCCAGGTTGGTTGGTATTTTTTATTATGGTAAATCGTTCTTTTACATTTATTTGCTTGTCTTTTTTTCCCCCTCCAAGTTTTCTGCTGTGTAAAATGGATATGTCCTAAGCTTGATCTTTTGAGGCACTGTGTAAACTGGACAGCCAGTGGCATTAGTGGCATTTGGTAAATTTACAGTGCTTGCAGCCAACCACCACTTTCATCTAAATAGTTCAGAACGCTTCATCACTTCAAAGTAAATCCTCATACTCAGTAAGCACTGACTCTTTGTCCCTCTTTAGCACTTGACCACCATGTGTCTGCTTTTTGTGTTAACGGATTTACCTGTTCTGGCCCATTCAAATTAATGGACTCATACAGCATGCTGCCCTTTGGGATCTCACTTTTTTCATATGATATGCTTTAAGATTTACCTGTGTTGTAGCATATCTAATTCACAGTTCATAATTTTTTATCTACACAATCATCATTATAGTCAATTTTAGGGTATAGTTGGCTCTTAGGGAACGTTGGGCTGAGGAATATTACCCTCCCCCCAAGAATAAAACGTCTTTTTAATTACTTTTGGCTGCAATACATAATATTTACTGGAGGGATGAACTACTTACTCAGGATTAGAGTCACATTGCATTTTAAGTGGAAACCATCTCCCTGAATTAGGGGTAGGAAAAACCCGAAAATAAAGTCTGACATGTTGTTATTAGGTGTCACCAAGTTGACTACTAGTGGTGGCGACCCTCTGAATACCAGGTCGGAGCCCTGCCCTGCCCTGCACCATCCCCACGACCTCTGACATACTTAAGCACATTGTCTCTGTACCAGTCTGTTCTCGAGAGTCTGTCTCTCCGAACGTCTCCTTTTCCCAGCGTGATGTTCTTTTCTAAGGACTGGTCCCTCCTGACCACATTCCAGAAAGATGTGAGATCCTGGCATTTAAAGAATACCCGGATTGTACTTCCTGCAGGGCTTGTTTGTTTTTCCGGCGGTCCATGAAATAACCTAGTCCTCTGCTCCACCACAATTCAGACGCATTCTCCTGTGCTCCTTCTTTATTGTCCACCATGCATGAGGAGTTACTGAAAAGACTCGTTGGCTTAGACCCACCTTAGTCTTTCAGCTGACATTGTTGCTTTGAAAAGGTCCTCGACAGAGGATTTTCCCAGGCCAGTGTATCTTTCCCCCCTCCCCTTCTAATTTTTTTATTGGTTTACAAGTAGTAATTCATATACACTTTGTTTCATTCATGTACATTGTTTTAGACATTTATATGGTGTTTCATGTTTATTTTGTTTTCTACAATCATAGATATTGTACTTTATATAATTACTATTGATTCATACATATTATTACCCCGTCATTTGACCATCCCCATTGAATTTTTCTTACTCCGTCATCTCCTCATCTACGTGCTAACCTGCTATCCTAGTGATCTGCCTCCTTCCCCTTTTCTGCCCCTTCTCCATTTCTGCATCCCCTTTTGAACATTTATGTACATCTTGCTCAATTATTCTTCTAATTTTACAGTAATGGGCTTATGTAGTATTTGTCCTTAGGAGTTATGTCAGTCAGCATAATGCTCTCTAGACTCTCCCATGTTATACAGCAATTTACAGAATCGTCATTCCTTATTGGCACATAGTATTCTGTTGTCTCAATCCATTTTTGATTGTGGATGGCCATTTTCTGGTGCATCTTTTGGTTTCTTGACTGCTGTTATGCTTGGTGTTGATTGTGGATCCAAGTAAAATGACATTACAACTTTGATACATTTTTTTTATCCAATGACGTTTGAATACATGTAGATGTACATTTTAGGATTCCTTTTCAAAAAGTAACATGTTGAAAGAGAAAGAGACCTTGGGCTATTAAATTCTCTGTAATTGAGCCTTTGCCAGTCGTGCTTGTCACTGTGCTTCCACAGGATATATTTCTTCCTTTAGAATGAATGGTAAACTTGTACCTTGTTTTTTCAGTACTCTCATGCCTTCTTCCTCTCCATCTAGTTTGGGTGCCTATTGGTTGGTGTCTTTGTCCTCTGTGTATGGTTCCATCACAATATTACACTTTAAACCTTTGTGACAGTCCTTCCCTAGACTTCCTGCAGGTAGGGAATCTTTGCTTTTGGATTAAGTGTGTCTTGTTTTGTAGTAGCAATTTTGACTGGCAGTGACAGTCTTAGTTATCCAATGTTGAAATGAAATGGCAGATACTGTAAGTAGATGGGTTTAACAAATAGATGTGTTCTTTTATGGTTTAGGAGGCCAGAAGTCCAAATTCAAGGAGCTCTGATAGCGTAGTGTGCACTGTATTGCACTGCTAACCAAAAGGTCGATGATTCAAATCCACCAGCTGCTCCTCTATTAAAATTTATAATCTTAGAAACCTGATGGAGGGTTGCTGTGAGTCGAAATGAACTTGACATTAGTAGGGTGGGTCAGTTTGAGGGGAAAATGCTCTTCGTCACTTCTGGAGGAAGATCTTGTTTCCTCAGTATGTCCCGGGGCCTTGAGGATCTCTGTGTGCCTTGTCCTTCCCTGGTGTCAAGGGACATCCTCACACACTCCTCGCTATTCTTATGGTCCTAGGATGCCACCTTCTTGATTCCTCTTCCTTTTTTTGTGTCTAGTGACAGAAAAGGTGCCACACACCCTAGAGAAACTTTCCTTGATCAGGACTGTGTGAAATTAAGGGGTATTGAGTCCACTCTTAATCCATTTACAACGACATAGTTTCCACAGGCCTACACTTTGGAGAAAACAGTGCACCTGTGATCCCATATATCAGAACGGAACTGTTTCACTGAGTGTCCTAGGCTGGAATCTTTATTTTGAGAATGTGAGCATGGTGCAAGATTGGGCAATGTTTGATTCTGTTGTATGTGGGTTCAGTAGAGCTATTTCAACTCAGCCATGGCTTGGAGCTGACTTGAAGGTACCTACCGATAGACTTCCTGGAAGCAGATCACCGAATCTTTTATTTCTGTGGAGTAGCTGGTTGGTTTGAACTGCTAATCTTTTGATTAGCAGATGAACCCTTAACCTTTATGCCACCAGAGGTCCTTTTGTGAATGTCTTTTTGATCCCTGATTTTCACCACTGGGCCAATTAGCAGCACCGTAATAGACAGTGAAGAGATTGAGATTGTTAACTGCTTTAGTTTGCTTGGCTCCACTATCAGCACACTGGTATCAGCAGCCAGGAAATTAAAAGACTAATTGCTCTGGGAAAGTCTGCTGTCAGGGACATCTCCAGAGTACTAAAGAACAACGGTGTCAGTCTGGAGACTAATGTGCACCTGATCCAGGCCATGGTCTTTGCAGTTACATCTATATGCATCAGAAAGCGGGACAATTACCAGGGCTGATAGAAGGAGAATTGATACCTTTGAGCTATAATGCTAGAGAAGAATATTGAATATACCATGGACTGCCAGGAGAACAAACATGTTCGTCCTGGAGAAAGTGAGACCAGGCTGCTCCTTGGAGGCAAGGATTCTGAAGCTCCGTCTGACATAGTTTGGGCATGTATGTTGCAAGGAGAGACCAGGCCTTGGAGAGGGACATCTTGCTTAGGAGGGTGGAGGGATAGTGCAAGAGAGGAAGACCCTCGATGAGATGGATTAACTCATTGACTGGGGTAATGGAGATGATAAGGTTGGCTCAGGGTAGAGCAGAGTTCAGAACTGTTGCACATAGGGTCGCTATGAGTCAAAGGCGACTTGAAGGCACCTAATAACAATTGTACAGTAACTGGTATATAGTTATTCAATGATACATTGAATGATACTAGTCAGTATAGAATTATGATTGATGTCATTGATGCCCAGTTGGAATATACTGAGAATACCATGGACTGCTAGGGAAACAAACAGATTTGTCCTGGAAAGGGTTAAACCGGGTGGCTTCTTGGAGGCAAGGATTCTGAGGCTCCGTCTAACATACTTTGGACATGTTGTG